GTCTTTCTCTAAATTTAAGAATTAAAGTATACGGCATATATTATTTGTTAATCATTTTTTGCCTCAATCCCACCTGATGAGAGTACCAGGACCACATTTTAACATTACTTTAGAGATATATTGAATATTGAAAAACACGTGGATATCCTCACATAGAAAATCACAAAATATCTTCCTTTGAAATATGACCTATCTCTTATTTGATGGGTTATTCCCATTTATATCTTTTCTAAATGCTAAACTTTGTTATTCCTCTTATGTTAGTGCTAGTGATTTTAGAGAGACCATGAAGTCTAGGACACCATTTCTTCAAAATCAGATTTGAGGATTACTATAGATTGTTTTGTATTGGAATTATTCAGGTAACATATATAACCATATACATATATTACATACATATATGTTATTCAGACAGCATATATAAAGGACTCTGAATTTTAAGATTTTATCTTTAGTTATTTTAGAGAGTTTCTTATTGACAGTAATATTTCTCAGTAAGTTCATCTGGACTTGATTTTTGTAGGGTAATTTGTAACCATCTATGTTACTGAGTTGTCGATTGATGTAGACTGGGTTCCTGTGTGTGTCTGGGAGCCATCCTCATTCTTTTCCACTAATAGGGACATGCCCATTAAATAAATAAATCTAATGGTATATTATTAATTTTTTAACATTTAGAAAACATTTTTGTGAAGTATAACATATACATAGTTTAGTCTATAAATCATGAATAATTTTCACAAAGTGAACACAGATACTGTATCAAAAGTATCACCTGTACCCCAGAGACCCACCTAACTTCCTCTTAAAATATATTCTTTATAATGCATTTTCTCAAAGCTAGCATTTGAAATGCTTGCTATTATTCTTTTTAGAAATAATGGAAATATAATTATTTATATTAATTTATATTGATAACACCTAACACAGAAACTAATTATGATGTTTAATAGCTGCTTGAATTTGTTGAGTTTTTATGCTTTTGTTATACAGGATTAATTTTTTTTTCATTCCCATATTTTTAAAAAGTTAAAAGAAATGTTTGCAGGAAATAGCTTCCATCTGAAATTTTTATTAAAGCATAACTAATATGATAAAATAGTTTAAGATTGTTATTAAATATTGTAAATCATTATGTTATATGCAAAGGAATAGTGACCCACAATTATATTTTCTTTGTCTTGCCTGTAAGTAGTCTTCTAATAGCATTCTCCAGGTATTCTCTCTGATTTTTAAAATTATTTAGTAGATAGGCTCTTCATTCCTTTCACTAAGTATTCACCATCAGTAAAATTGTGTGACTTCCATCAGCAATTTGATAACATAAAGCAATAGCTTTTCTCTATTTCACACAGTACTGGGGCTCTGTAAAGCATCTCTAGGGGTTCTTTGATGTCTAGACAGTTTAAATTATGCTTGCTCCCTTGCCTCCAAATTCCACCCCTGTTCTGCTTCAGGAGTTGTGGGAAATGAAAACAAACTAGAAGGGTCCACAGCCTTACAGTCCAGGGGGAAAAACAAACAAGTAGAATAAGCTGTATATCTACCCTGGCAGGTGTATAGGAAAGGGCCCAGTTACAGGGGATGGGAGAAAGAAAAGAATTGGGGACAAATATTTTCCTGCTTATTTGTTTCTAGTTATATTTATCATATGGAAATATATTGGCTTTGTGAACAAAATGTAACTATTATTGAAGTATTAAGGAAGAAAGTCAAAATCACCTTTTAGCCCAGTGCCCAGTTTTTTCCTCCCAACCTTCGCATAGGCAGCCAGATTTGACTTTGATGGGTTTCCTGTGTATTCCTATTTGTTGAAATGGTAAGATGAAGAATTGTGTTTGAAGAATTGTGTTTTAAGTTGGATAACTAACTTTGTTTTCTTCCTTTCTTTTTGTTTTCCTTCTCTAAATCGGGATATCATGGTTTTTCCAATTCATCTTGTTAGAAAGTAAGTAAATTTGAAATTTCAGAGATTTTTAAATTAAAACTTTGGTGTTTTATGATTTCATACAACACACACTCTCATACACATACACACACACACAGCTACAGGATTTTGAACTTCTAAATTCCACCTGAGGTGATGAGCTGATGAGCTCTTACAATAACTGTGAAGAAAATTGTGTTGAATAAATTAAAAATAAGAACCATTACATAGAAGGAGTTTATTCTAAGAGTACAGACTTTTAAAGCATGTGCATCTGCCTCATTTTTTACTCACAGTTAATCATTATGTTTAAAGTATATATATGTGTATATACAATACATAGTATACTTGTCAGTTCTATTTTTTCTGAACATAAACATAATCAAATTGCATAAGTAAGGCTTTATTTTTGTTGAATAGCACTTAAGACATTTCTGCAGGAAAAGTGGTCTAAGTTTTCGATAGTTTATGGAATTGATGAAGATAGCAGTAATAAGTAAATGATGTGAAAGGTTTTGAAATACATTTTCCTGTGTATATTTTATGTTGGATGAATCAGTTACCTATTAATAAGTATTTAACTCTTTTGATGCTTATTTTCCATTGTTTTGAAATAAAATGGACCAGAATGAGTAGTTTTTTCTTCAAGGAACGAAACTTATGTGCTTAAAACTAAGTGACTAATCAGTGAGTGATTTTAGCTTTAAAATTTTCATTTGATTGCAAATCATTTTCTAATGCAAATATTGTATAGTTTTGAAATAGAACAAGTTTCATATGTTTCTTTTGGGAAAGATTTATAGAAATTGCAATAGGCATTGAGACTTTGGAGATGTGATTGTGAATTACATATTTTTAAATTTTTCCATAGTAAATCTTGTGTTTATTGACTTAATAAACAGTATAATTTAATAATATATTCATGCTTAATAGAGCTTATTATTTGTAGAAAACTGGGGACTTATCACATATGTTTGCAGCAAGCACAGCGTTAAATGGCTATTTAATAGCCAATTTATCTTCTACAATTATCTTCAGCTTGCTATACCTTAGAAAGGAAATGTAAATTATAGTAATGTTATATTTGTTTAGTACTTAGTCATTGCCTTTAAATCTGTATTATTATTTAACGTGCTGAATCTGAGTTCTTGGAATAATATGCATTAGGGCCGTAGGAATAAAGAGAATAAACAGCATTGTGAGGTTTCATATTAGGTGAACAATTTTATTAAGTTGTATTTTAAAACATTTTACATTATGTCATTTTTATGTATTGGATTCTATTTTACATGTTGTGTTAACATCTTTTTGCCAAGTCCCTGCAGAAAGTCTGTATTTCTGACAGTTCCACTAAATTAAAACTCTAAAAATCTGGCATAATCATTCTTAGTTTCAGATTTTCTATGCTTTTGTCTGAAGAGTACAATGTAAAAATATGTATTTGCAGTATTCAGTATAACATGTATTACATAATTTATTTGGAATTTATATTTCTGGAGAGATGAATATGTTTTACTTTATAGATATGCCTGGGCCACTTTAAAATCTTTTGTGAGAAAATAATGAAATGAGGTCTGCAAGCTTGTAGGAGCTTCATGAGAAAAGATACTACCTAAACACGTTATTACCATGTGTACGTTAATGTTACAGCTACATTATTCTATGAACAAATTTATATTAAGATGATTCTTGTTCCCTGTCAAATTCAATGGAGGCATATTTATATGTTGGCCCAGAGAAGCTGCTTCCTAAAAAGTTGTCTTTGTAGATTAATACTTATAAACCTTTATGACCATAGTGCATATATATGCTGCCTTGCTGTTAAGTGTGTTCTGGCAATTCAGCATATTTGACTTCTTCATTTTACTGGTGAGTTTTCATTATAAGTAAGAGATTTCATAGTCTTGGTTTTTAGAAAACTTTTAATTAGGAGCACAAATTATATAATTATCCTCAAAATTTAAAGTTAGAATTCTGAACTTACAAAGTTTGAAAGCTTCATATCCTAAAGGCTGTATTGTCTCAGAATGTGAATTAAATAACCATAATTCCTAAGAAGCAGGTGAGGGTGGTGGAGGGGTAGGGCTTTTAACTAAAACTGGTTTGACCCGATATTGATATTTCGGCATAGTAGAAAGTAAAATGTTTATGGATGTATCATTAAATAAAGGCAAAAATTGTAGCTCTGAATTCTAGCTTCTAAATATTAGTTTGCATTCAAAACAAAACATTTGTTCTAAAATCTACCCCAGGAAATATATATATATGTACTTTATGTTTTATAAATATTATTCACATATATGAACTCACTCTAATAATGTTTGGACATATATACTTTGATATTTTAAATTGTTAGTTTAATGTTGTTTGATTTCTTTAAAAAGTGATCTTAGAATCCAGTCACTTGCATGTTTACTACAGAATTCTGTTAGCTGGACAGAATTTCCAAACACCTATTCTTTGATATGTCTGAGAAAAGGATGTCATTGTAGAGGCTGTATCAGAGGTATAAACACATACATACATTCTTATTTGGCTATGTGAGAAATGCAGTCCTGTGAGTAACTTAAATACTTATAATTTTAAATCAGTTCTTCCCTGGTTTATTATTCTTTTGTTGCTTTTCAACCTATGGGATAGAGCTGCTCTTGAACTTGGTGGGTTTTTTTTTTTTGATCATTCAAGTACAACCATCAAGTTGTATGTAATATTTAATAGCTAAGGCTTTATGGTGTTATTTGTAAAATAACACCACATAAATATTTGAGCTTCGGTTTCTGTAAAATGTAGTATTGGTTACTCTATGAATAAAAGCATAATTTCAATTCAAGAAAAATTTGCCTGAAGGCCTTAGAAGACAGATGCATCTGATTAACTTTGGTGAAACTGGACTTGGCCCTTTATTGTAATGTAGATGTTTTCTGGGTTGGGAGGGTATTTTTAAAAGGCATGCAAAGAATCCTTTTTTTTTTTTTTTTTTTTTTTTTGAGAGAGAGAGAGGGACTTAGAGAACAGTTCTGCAATAGAAGCTGTACCTCAGACTGCTTCATTTTTGCACACTTTTATTTTCTAGTGGAACCTCTCCATTAGCCTGTCTGAATGCAATGCTTCACACTAACACTCGAATAGGGGATGGAACATTCTTCAAAATCCCTGGAAAGTCAGGCCTCTATGCTCTCAAAGTAAGTTGCATTCTTCTACATATTGTTATTACTATGTATCATGCATTTTTTCAGACATGTGAAGATAAACAAAATTAGATTTCGATGAAGAGTAGGAGAATGACTTCTGTGACTTTTAAATGTTTACAGATGTCTTAAAAATGATTTCATATTAAGAATAAACAATGACACTTTTCTTTAAGGAAAGCATATCTGTGGTTTTACTCCATAACATATGGTAATGTAGAATAGTTGTGGCTTCCTTAAATTCTTGATTCTTCAAAATTTATGGGGAGGAGTGTCATAGGTCATTGGCCAGGAGTTTAAGATAATCAGAGTTACCATGAACTCTTTAACTTAATGACCATCAGTTGATATACAGGCTGCACACCTGTATGCCTTTGTCTTTTATAAAAATAAATCATTGATTCATTCTGCTTAAAAACACTAAAGTAAATCTAGTGTTCAATTTTAAAAGAAATCGTGATGTCAAGGAAGTTTTACTAATAATGCACACTTGTATGAGAAGAAGAAATAAAAGCTCTGGATAACCGAGTCTTAATTATTTTAGTATAATTATTTTAAAGGCATTCCCATTTCCATCTAGGGGAAATGACATCTGAAATGCAAAATTCCAGAAGAAAAAGCTTATAATCTACAAATGGTTGTGTAACTTGGAATAAGTAAATTCATTGTGTTATTTCTTAGAAATTAGAAAGAAGTATCTAAGTGATGGATTCTATTTAAAGTTAATTAACTACTTATAAATTTGTGTGTTTTTTTTAACATCAAAAGTTATACCTAGACAACAAAGCAGGAATTCTTCTTTAGCTACTAAGCATCAGGCTGTGGTCCACTGTGTGTGTTTCAGAAAATAAGACAGGTTAATCAGAAAGACTTGTAATTTTTCCATTGCTTTTTGTAGCAAGTTGGGTATTTAAGTAACTGATTAAAATTCTGAGTTTTTAAGCCATTTCTTTACATGAGGAAAAATGTAGAATTGAAAAAAAAAATGGAAACAACATATGTCAAAAAGAACTTCTTTTTGGTATAGATTTTAAAAGTTTATCCGCAAAAAAATCAACAGTAGCAATGGGCTTTACCCAGTAGTAGTTGTTTTCTTAACCCAGGAATGATTTTTCATTAAAAAGTAAATCAGTGTTGAAATGTTAAGTCAAAATAAGTGATCATACTTTAGGTTTCTTCAAGTATTTTGAATGTTTTTAGTTGCTAATATATCTTCTCCATAAATCATCACTTTTCAAAATAATATAGAAAGAGGAGTCGTCATGCCCAGCAGATGGCACGTTGGATTTAGTCTGTGAATCTGAATTGGATGGTACAGATATGGCCGAGGCAAATGCCCATGGAGAAGAAAATGGAGGTAAGTGTGATGAATTCTAAAATATAATCCCTTGTTTTCTTAAAAGTTATATAGAATGCCAGTGATTCATTAACTGAATTGCCTACCATTACCAATACAATTTTCTTCTAACTTTTTAATCCTGAGATTTATCATCAAGGTGTTTTGATTCAAAAAGGATACTATCTAAAAGAAGTATATAGTTCTTTGCTTTTTTTGTTTTTTAACAGTACATGTTTCCTGAATAATTCTTTAAGTATTAGTATATTTCTCCTGCAAATTGAGAGGGTTACTGGGGGTACCTAGTAGTTTCATTCTTATGGGAGGATTGAGAATGCAAATGTTTTATTTCTGATGGTTCTTATTTTTCCTGTAATCACAAGTAGTTTTATAACAGCTTTGTTCCCTGGTTTGTCTTTTGCAAATGAAGCTTGGTTTTATCATTCCTCAGAGTGAAAAGAGGGCTAAGTAAGATATTTTCTTGTGAGATACTTTTGAGAAGCGAGTGACCCTTCCAGAATTTTAAGGGGGGCATTTTCCACCTCTGAATTTTATCCTCTGAATTTTGTATGTGAACTTATTTTTGTCTTCCTCAAGACAATTATATTTTGATTCTTTCAGTGTACATAATTCTGCATTGCAATTTCGGCAAATCTTTGTCCCACAATAGCTGCAGTGCTTTCTTCTACTCTACCCACTGGTTCCACAAAGGGACCCAGATCATGATTTGAGAGAAAACTGTGTAATTAAAGTCTCTGTCAGTAGACTCATAGGAATCCGTAAATTACCTTTAAACAAACAAACCATAAAGGATTTTTGCAGAAATATTGTATTTCAGTAATAACCCAAAGTCATTCATTTTATTAATGGCCATGGAGTCCCTTTGTTTGTCCTGTGCCTGCTCACTGAACGCTCTTGCCCTTTAAACTTGTGCTTTCTGATAGATCCCATAAGACTGATACTGCTTTAGTCCCTCTCTAATCTGTAGCAAAGGTTGTGAATTTAATATAGGAAACACAGCTTATTGTCTTAAGAAAATCACAAGAATGGCTGCAGACTGCTTTATGGACTATTCTACTTTTCATCTGACTTGTGGTCCCTAATCCTATACTTTTGAGCATCTCCTAATTGTTGGGGTAATGGTGTGAACCCTGGCTGGTCCTTGTGTTTAGAGAGAGGAAAATTCAGAGAATCACAGTAATTTCTGACTTTATAAAAGGGTAGGTGAGTGAGGCACACTTTTCCCTTTGAAGAGGGTGAAGGAGAATCTTATTGCAGTCGCTGTCAGTGTGGCACTCGTGCCTGGGTGAGCGCTCATGTGCTCTCTCAATATATATATATTGAGCTTCTTTCATGTGCCAAGACTATTCTTGACATTGAAGTTACAGCAGGGAAAAACAAAAGCAAATCTCTCATGAAGCTTATGTTCTTTGAGAGACAGAAAATAAGCAAAATAAATACCTAAAATGTATAGCTTATTCAGTCGTGACCAGTGATATGGGGCAAAATAAATTAGGAAGTTGGGGATTGGGGGAGAGGGTTACATTCAGAAAAGACCTGAGGGGCATAAGTGAACAGGCGTTCAGGGGAGAGAACTCAAGGAAGAGGGAATAGCAACTACAAAGCCATTGAGACAGGAGAGTGCCTGGAATATTCCATAGACAGCAAGAGGCTCGTGTGGCTGTGAGGTCAAAGTGAACAAGGGAGAGTACGGTAACAAAGCCAGGGGAGTTACTGGGGCCAGGTTATATGGTACCTTGATGCTGGCTTTTGTTTTGAGTGAGATATTAAGCCATTGTAGAGTTTGGAACGAGAAAGGCAATGACCACATTTGGGTTTTATTAGGATCGCTAAGTACAAAAAAAGATACAAGAACAAGGACAAAAGGAGGGAGACCCATTAGAAAGCTATTGTAATCTAGAGGAGAGGTGCTGGTGATTTGAAGGAAAGTAGTAGCAGTGGCTGGGATGAAAGGTGATTGGATTCTGGTCGATCCAGCAGAAGCTGCTGACAGATAAATGTGGATGTGAGACAGAGAAAGGAGTTGGGAATGACTCCAGAGTTTGACTATGTGAGCAAGTTGAACAATAGCATTGTCCTTAGTTTAGATCGAAGAATCTTCAAGGGAACCAGTTTAGGGGAGGGGGATTGTTGAGTAGGAGCTCACTTCTGGACATGAAATTCTTTTTCAATGTCTCAGTGAATGTATTAAGTAAATGATTTTATCTGTCTGAAAGGTATGGGAAAGATCCTTGGAGATACTGATTTGGAAGTGGCCAGTTTATAGGTGGTATTTAAAGACAGGAAACTGAATGAGATTACCAAGGAACTGAAGGTAAATAGAAAAGAAAAAATCCCAAAGACTGAGCTAAGGGGCACTTGAATTTTAAGAGGTTGGAGAGAGTATAGAAAACAATGAGACTGAAGGTTAATGGACATAGTATTTTCTGTCCTGGAAACCAGATGAAGAAAGTATTTCTGAGGATGAAGTGACTTAAATGTGTCAGTGCTTTTGATAATACGAAGTCATGATGAAGATTAGAAAATTACCACTGGATTTACCTTTGTGAGAGTATTGATGAACTTGCCAACTGTAATTTTGTGGAATGGTAAGACCATAGCCTGAATAAGGTGGGTTCAAGAGAATGAGAGGAGAGAAATTAGAGACCACAAGTGTAGACAATTCTTTCATGGAATTTTGAGTTCTGGGGAAGGAATGGAATGAGAAAATGGCTGGAAAGGAAAGAATCAAGAGACAGTTTTTTAAAAATGGGAAACCAGTATTAGAAAATTGTTCACTAATGGAAACATTTCAGTTGAGGAAAATTGATAATTTGGGAGGGGTGTTCTGTTGCCATGCCTTGGTTAGATGAGGGAGAATGGGACATATTCAGCAAATGGAGAGATTGGTCTTAGCAAGAGAGGTAGACAGGTGCTCTAAAGGAGGTAGTGGGAAAAATCAGGGTGTTTCAGCAGAAGTGAAGGTAGGTGAGTACATGTGGAAGGGGCTCATAGAAGTTTGCTTCTGTCTATGTTCTTTTTCTCAGTGAAATAGAAAACAAGTCCATCAGCTAAGGGTGAGAATAGGGGAGGTAGTTTTATAGATTTAAGGAGAAGATGCAAAATATTTGTCTGAGACACTCTGACAGCATTAGGGACTTCTTAAGGTTATTCATTCTGAATTTAATAGGAGACCAACCTACATGTTTGGCCATTTTTGTCCAGTTGTGTTCAGGAGCACTGTACAAGCTCAGAGGAGTTGTATAGTGATTGAAGCTGGGGGTTTGCCAAATGTCAATGATGAAGCAAGAGAGGAAAAAAGGAGTTAAGGGCATATGAAGTGGAGTAATGAAGGCAAATTTCCATGGAATATATACCCACGTGGAGGTGAGTGAAGACACACCTCCATGTGGGCATATATTCCATGGTGTGAAGAAGGAAGATGGTGTGAAGAAGGAAGTCTCATTGGTGTGGAAAGGTTGTTTGATTTGGTGTTCTAAAGGAAATGAAATTGGAAGTATAAGTGATGTGAGTGGAATGCATGGATTGAATTTAGGATACGATTATGGAATGTACTTTCTGAGATGATAAGAAAAAAGGTCTCTAAGTTTCATACTATCAAGAGCGCTTAGGCCACGTGTGCACTCAAGAGTTTCCTGGATGAAGTGGCATCGGTGGCTGAAATTCAGCACCCCTCCATTTGCCCAGCCTATTGCTGTGGGTTGGAACTGGGTTCACCTGAAAAAGATTGCCTTTTTTTTTTTTTGCACAAAGATGTTGTAAAGGCTGGTAGTGGCCCTTGCATAAGATATTAGAGAATCATCAGCATGGGTATTGAAGCAGACTATTATAGTAGAACTAACATCGACAAGATGTCACATTAGCGGCTAACATATTTAAAAAATGAAGGAGAGAAACCAAGAGTTGGCAGGTAAGTACAGCAGGTTGAGTAGTAATATAGTCTGATGACATGTGATACAATGCTGGAGACATCATAGAAGCCTTGGAGGGAGAATGGTCTGAAGGGAATGGTGAGGGGAATATAGGTCAATTATTCCATTTCCAGGCCCAGTAGTACAAGAGGTGTAGTAAAGAAAAAGGCTACCACCTGAGACCATTCCAGAAGAACCAGTGTCTTGGCTGGCGAGACAGCTAGATTTTGTATATTAAGAAGTAAAGGAAGTTTTCAGAGAAAAGATAGAGGCTGCAGGGGATTTTGATAATGACTAATCCTAGATTCCAGAGGAAACCGTGGGAGTTTAGTAGTTGGGAAAGGGTAACAGATAGCATGTCAGCACTCAGCCAATAATGAAACTAAAGCAGGGATAAGCAAACTTCCCTTATTTAAAATGTGAATAGGCACTTCAGAAAATAACACATACCCAAACATATCCAGCTAATTTGACAAAAATTAGATTTCCTGGCCTCTCATTTGAAGTTGCATTTGGGAAATTACTTTGGGGAATCACTGAAAGAATAGTAAATAGCTTATTTCCTTGAGTTGCTCACTTTTGCATCTTACTGCAAACCACAATTGCATCTCTATGTAAGTACCCACTACCTCCATGTATAAATAGGCCATTAATCTAGCTGCAAGGACACATTTTCAAACAAAGACATTGAAAATGTATTGAGTGCTTTGTTATTTTATTTTATTTTTACCCGTGAGGGAACAACCTTAGGTTAAATGTCCCATCCAAATTGCAAACCCAGGTGTGACGCCAAAGGCCAGTCTCTCTTCACTCTGATACCTTGCCTGGAATCACAGGCCACACTTCTTATTAGCCAGTCATTGTTGGTACAGTTTGCCTTTCCAACGTTGGTTCACATCCATTATGATCCTAAATTTAAGACTTTGACAAAGAGGAACCCCTGGATTATTCTAATAAAGTAGTGGGATACCACATGATTTCTTAGGATTCAATAATAAATTTCAGGAAACTAAACTGCTTTAGGTGATTTCCTTGCTTACTTTGTTTTTAATATATATTTGAACCAAAAGTTAGAATGGATATACTTTC